TTATAATTAATTGGTTATAGAGAATAGCATTCTGCCCTTGTACATTTCCTCAATTTCAGCCCAGAAGTAGGCTTTATTGTGGAAGGATCTTTGAAAATTACTTGCTTGAAATATAAATGATACTTTACCATAGAAATAGTGTTATCCACAATGGTACAGCATACTTTCTAGAAAAGGATTTGGGCACTTAAGTATTGATATTTTTAGGACTTTTTGATGATTTATGGGGACAATGGATGAGAAAATTGGCATTTTCCTGGACAGTTCAGACTCTGGTTTCTGGAACATGGTGGTTGGGTTCCTAGGCCTGGCCACAAGACTGATGCTTACAGAGTCAAGTGTTAGTTGTGCTGTAGAACTGAGCTGCTCTGTATGATAAGTGATGTTGGGGAACAGAAAACCTGTTAGGCATTCTTTTCTTACAGAAAAAAATTTGGGAGGGACACCAAACCTATTCTCAAACACGTTCTTCTTTCTTCTACCACTCTTAAAAATCAAACTTTCTACTCACCAAATTTTTTTTTTCCAATTGAGGACTTTCTCATACCTACTGGGTAATGGAATACAACTTCACAGTCTCCCTACTCTCCCTGCCTCCCATCCCTCCAGTCAAAAAATAATGTAAAATAATCCCAAGGGAGATGAGAGGCCATCTCAGTTTCCTAAGGGATTTAATCATTAGACAGCAAGTTAAAAATACCAGTTGTCCCTGTGGTATATTAGACTGTAAACAGAGGGAGGCCCACCTTTCTAGTGTTGGGTCCAGGTTTATAGCCACATCTTCATCTTTATTCCCGAGACCCAACCTTGGTACTCTAAATCTCCTTCTCTTACCTCAGCTGAACATGACTGGGGGACATGTTCCTCTTCCCAAAGATGGTATCTTCCTCAGGCAACCTCCCCTTCATTCTCAATCTACCTATCTTTCTGCAGTAGATGCTAGAAGCACAAAGACAATACTGTTGGTACCAAGTCCCTGGTTGTGTAGAGGACTAAAGTGAGATTTTTCTGTATTTTAGAGTAGTAGTATATTAATTGTATATTCTTCCTGTATTCTCCACCATTTAAAAAAAAATTATGTGAGCCAGACACACGGTTGTTCACACCTGTAATCCTAGAACTTTGCGAGGCCAGGGTGGGCGTATCATGAGGTCAGGAGTTCGAGACCAGACTGACCAACAAGGTGAAACCCCGTCTCTACTAAAAATATAAAAAAAAAAAATAGCTGGGCATGGTGGCACGCACCTGTAATCCCAGCTACTCAGGAAGCTGAAGCAGGAGACTCGCTTGAACCCCGGAGGCAGAGTTTGCAGTGAGCCAAGATCCCAGCCTGGGAAACAGAGCAGGACGCCATCTCAGAAAAAAAAAAAGTAAAAATACTCAGAATAATAGGACAGATTTCAAGTGGAGGTTATGAGAAGACATAGCTAGAGCTGGCTTGCTACCTAGGTATCAAATAATAGAAAGCACTTAAGGTAGGAGCTAATATCCACCTTCATTAGATTTTAGAGTAGAATTGAAAGAGTTTGAGGAATTGATATAATCGTTCAGCTTTAACAGGGATGAAGTTTAGGATTAAGTTTAGGATTTAAAAGCCCAATTGCATAAACTATATAATGGAAGAGGTTGGACATAGAAATTTATCCTTGTTAAAAAGATGTTAGGGAGCAGGCACCATAGCTCAGGCCTGTAATCCCAGATACTCGGGAGGCTGAGACAGGAGGATTGCCTGAGCCCAGTAATTCAAGGCTGAAATGAGCCAGAACTGTGCCACTGTACTCCAGCCTGAATGGCAGAGCAAGACCTTGTCTCAATTAAAAACAAAAAAAGATGTTAGAGTAATGACTGGCTCTAATGAGAGTTTATCAGCCTAAGATGACCTTACACTGCGTTAATAGACATACAGTATCCAGGAAGGGATTTACACTTCCTGTACCACACTACGGAAAGGAAGCAGGAGCAACTGGCATGCACCATGTGGAGTTCGGGCCAGATTGGGCAAGGAATTTGTCAACTCAGGAAGATTTAAGCACCTGGGGTCTTTGAGCTCCCAGGGACAGGCTTCCTGCTTGGCAACCTCAGGTAACTGTCTTCAGAAATTTGAAGGGCTTCAGTGCCTGTCACTTAACAGTTCCTTGGTAATCATCTGTCAGATATTTTGTTCAGTGAAACTTGTTCTTCAAATAGCACCAATGGGGAGTCAAAGCCAACAGGGAAAAGCTTCTAGCTCAGTAAAAGTTAAAGTTTTTGGGTGTTGTCCTTCACCACTGGAAGACAGTTGAGAGCAGCACCTAATCCATCAGCATACCTGGGGTTACGGGCCATCTCAGGACATTGGCTACCACTCTTTGTTTTGAGCCTATTTTGGAAGGCATAGTGCAGTGAGTCGACTCATTTATTTATTAATATTGGAGGGGTTCCCCCCATTAAATAATTGATAAACTACTTGCAGCACCCCTCACACCTTGTAGAAACACCTGTGTGTTCTAACACAGCAGTGGGGAGCCACTTGTTGAGAGATGGAACTGGCTGCCTCTAAGAGAATGAATGAATGTGAGGTATTAGAACACATGCGGCACCAATTAATTGGCACGAAAATAGTCCAAATAGGAGGTAATGAGGACTTGAACCTGATGCGGGGCAGTGGTGGTAAAGGGTAAGAAATGAATTGAGAGAGGCTTTAGTTTAACTTAATGTTGATTAGATATGTTAAACGGTGGAGGAGCATTGAGAAGTCTAAGATACAACCAGGTTTCTGACTTGAGCAGGTGGTTGGGTGATAAGTTCATTCTTTGAGAGTGAAGACATGGGATTGGGAGCTAGGAAACAAGTTTGGGGAAGAGAAAGATGGTAAGTGGCAGTTAAAGTCTGAGCCTAGAAGAGCTGGCACTCAAGGAACTGAAATGTGGAAAGGATGCAGGCCTTATCTTCCCATTGATTTTTGTTGTTGTTGTTTTTAAGCCACTATTTATGGCCACATTCATTTGCCATTCCCCAGTCAGAAGCCAGGGTTGCCATTATGGCTGTGGACAGTCTGCCTCAGTGTCTGTTTTTGTACTGCCCATGAGCTAAAAATATTTTTTACATTTTGTAATTTATTGGAGAAAAAAATGAGAAATTTATGACATGTGAAAATGACAGGAAATTTATATTTCACTGTCCATAAATAAAGCTTTATGGGAGCACAGCCACACACTCATTTGTTTACACATTGTCTATGGCTGCTTTGGCCCTACAAATGCAGAATTGAGTTGTTGTGATGAAGACCATATGGCCAGTAAGCCCTAAAATATTTACTAACTGGCCCTTTACAGAAAGTTTGTTGATTCCCCCCCGATCAAGAGTAGGAGAAGCCCACACAGGAAGAGGAAGGAAGAGCTGAAGAGCTAGCTGGAGCACATCTCACAGAAACGGGAGGGAGGGAATGGTGAGTGGTGTCAGAAACTGCAGAAAAGTCGAAGAAAAGGTCCAGTGCAGACTGGTTAGACTGGCAACAATGATCACTAGTGACTTAGGAGGAAGGAAGCTTCCAGGGAGATGTTTAGGGCAAAAGCCAGTGTATTTTGGGTAGAGGAGGGAGTGGAAGGTAAAGAAATAGAGACAGTGCTGAGAGGTTACTGAAAATTGTTCAGTGCATATTGACCACTCGCTGCATGTCATCAGATTTAAAATGCCCAGCCTAGAATATCTTTTCTAGGCCTTGTTTGTATTTTAACTACTACTTTAAAAACATTTCTAGGTCATTCTTTTTATGTTTGATACCGTTGAGATAGTTAAAGGAAATAATAGCTTGTACTAGTTCTGTGCAGCTGCTGGGTTCAGAACCCTGCCTGGTTCAGAAGTTTCTTAAACAGTCCTTTTATCTGAAAAAGGAGCATCTAATTGAAGTTTTCAGAAATAAGGGCAATTAGAAGTTTAAACTGTGAGATACAAAAATGGAATAAGATAAATGGGATAAGAAAGGGGAGGAGATTCAATTATTAGAGTACATAAATGCTTCTTAAAAGTAAAATGAATGGAGGCTGGGCACGGTGGCTCACACCTCTTATTTCAGCACTTTGGGAGGCAGAGGTGGGCAGATCACCTGAGGTTGGGAGTTTGAGACCAGCCTGGCCAACATGGTGAAACCCTGTCTCTACTAAAAATACAAAAATTAGCCAGGCGTGGTGGTGCACACTTGTGATCCCAGCTACTCTGGAGGCTGAGGCAGGAGAATCACTTGAACCTGGGAGGCAGAGGTTGCAGCGAGTTGAGATCCCGTCACTGCACTCTAGCTTGGACAACAGAACAAGACTCCGTCTCAAGAAAAGAAAAAAGGAAAGGAAGATGAAGTAAATGAATGAAAGTTAGAAAATAGGAAACACTGCTTTTTTTTCCCCACAATGTTTTTATTTCCCTATAGTACAGAGATCTTGTTTAAGCCACAAACCTTTCCTCTGGAAAATAATAAACTATGCCCTTACTTTGAACAGCTCATCTTTAGAAAAACTTGCAGAACCTGCAAATCATTAAGATTCAGAAAAGAGACAGCCTGAAAAGTAACATACTCAGACTTAACGATAGCTTCTCTTCCCCTTTATCGTCTGACATTCTGGACCATGATGATGGGTTGATGCACACTGATTCTGATTTCTTAAGACTTTGGGAGTCAGTTTGGATCAGGCCTCCTGCCTAAAAAGCTGCATTGCTCTCCAATTAGTGCCTGCAATTCTGGTTGGCATTTAAATGCTTAACGTTCTTAGATTCAGAAAGGTGTGATTTTTAAAATAGAATAAGAATTCATTCAGGTGCTGAAACAGTTTGCTGACTGGCATTTTCTGACTGTGTCCTGGAGGTTTTGATTTTTTTCTTTTTATACTTTGACCTATTTGTGCATGATATCCTGGAGTTTGAATGACTAATCTCCTAGGCCAGAGCACACTGTCTTGGGAGGAAAGTGGTTGAGGTATGTTCCTATTTTATAATGACTTTATCACTTACAGTCCATTCTGTCTCTGATGTGATCGTGGGAAAGTGCCCTAAGGAACTTTTGCAAGGATCTTGCACGATATGTGATACCTACCAAATTTCTTCAGTTGAAACAGTGTTTTAAAGTGAGTCAAACTGGTATTCAGCCCTCAGTCTTGCAGGTCTCTCTGTCTTGTCTTGCTGTTGTTTTCCGGATTGAGTTAAAGTATGTAGTAGACCTGGTTAACTTATAGTGAAGATGCTAGACCTTTTATAGAAGGGCAGCCTTACAGAAACATAGCTCTTTCCATCCTAAAAACCAGTTGGGATGAATTTCTCCAGTCCCTCCCTGCCAGCTTCTTATTTGTACTCATAAGAAAAAAGGGGATTGCAAATGCCCTATGCTATAGAATTCTCCAGAAACAGATAGTAAAGGAATATTAAATAATCTTCATTCATTCATTTACTATTTATGCATCCATCTGTTGTTATAGGTCATGAATATTAAATAATGACTACTTTTATTTTCTGAAGTCACACATTTATTCTGCTCATCAGATTTTGGATCCTCTGACCTCTACTCCCCCTCCCTTTACTGGGAGACCTGCTCCTACCATTGACTGGCTGAGGTTAGACATGGGGGTTGCCTAGAAGTTGCTGCAGGCACCTGCTCTTTTCTCCTGTCACCCAAAGTATGTTAATGTCCAGTAGTGGCATAGATTGGGCCGCCTGATTTCTGATGATGTATCTCTCTCATAAAGGAGCCAGTTCAACAAACGACATGCTGGCCCAGCATCATTTTAGCAGTCAAAGCAGTACTGTCCCCAGAGCTGGCCCTGATGTTACCCAGGGAGGCAGGGATTTGGTCCACAGAATCATCTGAACTATCAGGCTTGATTATTTCTGTACGACTTCCAACCTTTATTTGCCAGGTAGTTTTGGGTTTTTTTGGGTTTTTTTTTTTTTTTTTTTTGAGATGGAGTGTCACTCTGTCATGCATCACACGACCTCGGCTCACTACAGCCCCCACCTCCTGGGTTCAAGCAATTCTCCTGCCTCAGCCTCCCAAGTAGCTAGGATTACAGCCATGCACCACCACCCTGGCTAATTTTTTTGTATTTTTAGTAGAGACGGGGTTTCACCATGTTGGTCAGGCTGGTCTCAAACTCCTGACCTCAAATGATCTGCCTGCCTTAGTCTCCCAAAGTGCTGGGATTACAGGCATGAACCACTGCACCTGGCCTGCCAGGTAGATTTTTATGGAGAGAGTAGTGATCTTTTGGCCGCATGCAGCGAGGGAGGTGCAGATCTAAGAGAGCCTTACCTGGAGGTTCGAGGGGGAGAGCCAGAGGGTCCAGCAGGGTGTGGTTTCACGCTTGTCCTGCACATTCCCATGCTGTATATGGGCCATTTTAAAAATTAAGGTTAACAAAATCAAATTATTTAAAATAAATAGAAAAAGTATCTACATTTTGTAATTTCTATCTTAAATAATTGGAAAAAAAATTTTTTTTTTTTTTAAAATATATGCCTTTAAAAATAAAGGCATATTTATATCATTTCTAGTATTTACACAGAGAGCTGTGCAAGTCTTTGAGTCCAGGTAGCTGTAGAAACCAAAACCAAGCTGAGTTTGTGATTTTTCAGGCCTGGAGTTTCTTGTACGAATGTACTTTGTACCATGCCCTAAAGAAAAAAGAAAATATGAAAAATGGGTCCTTGCCCTGAGGAAGTCATGGCAGGAAGTCATGGCCTGGTGAGGGAGAAGGACTTGTAAATGGAGAATTTCCGTGGTAGAGAGAGATGGATGATGTGTTTCAGGAGCACTTAGGAAGAACGTTAGCCCACCTAGGTCAGAGACTTCAAGAAAGTTTACTCAGAGGTAGATCCATTAAGAATGTGGATGAAGGGAAGGGATCCTTGGACTGAGGCTTGAACCTTTTACCAAGGACTTTTCCATGGACGTTTAACTCTTCTAGGCAGCACTTCAGGGAATTAATTCTAATGTTGATTTAGGCAAGTGAATGATGATCACTTCCCTCTCCCCCTTGATTAATGGAATGTATTCCATGGTCTTGCTTTGTTTAACTTCTTGTCACCATCAGCTGCCACCTTCATCCTGCCTTCAATAAACTGAAGAGATTGTGGAGAATTTGGAAAAACTGTGTCCCTTGAGAGTAGAGTAAAAGGAGAAGTTACTTTGTTAGAATTGGTATCTTGTAAGCTTTCTTAAAAACAATCTTGGCCAGGGTCCAGGCATGTGGCTCATGCCTGTAATCCCAGCATTTTGTGAGGCCTATGTGGGTAGATTTCTTGAGTCCAGGAATTCGAGACCAGCCTAGGTACGAAACATGGCGAAACCCTGTCTCTCCAGGGGGAAAAAAATAAGTTAAGCATGATGGTACATGCCTGTAGTCCCAGCTACTCAGGAGGCTGAGGTGGGAGGATCCCTTGAGCCCTGGAGGTAGAAGTTAACAGTGAGCCAAGATCATTGCACTCCAGCCTGAGTTATACAGCAAGACCCTATCTCAAAAAAACAAAAAATAGTCTGGGCGCAGTGGCTCACACCTATAATCCCAGCACTTTGGGAGGCCAAGGCAGGCAGGTCACGAGGTCAGGAGTTCAAGACCAGCCTGGCCAACATAGTGAAACCCCATCTCTACCAAAAATACAAAAAATTAGCCGGGTATGGTGGCAGGCGCCTGTAATCCCAGCTACTTCAGAGGCTGAGGCAGGATAATTGCTTGAAGGTGGAGGTGGAGGTTGCAGTGAGCAGGGATTGTGCCACCGCACTCCAGCCTGGGTAACAGTGGAAGACTCCATCTCAGAAAAAAAAAAAATAAGTAAAATAAATAAAATATGATAATAATCTTGGCCAGGTGCAGTGGCTCACTCCTGTAATCCTAGCACTTTGGAAAGCTGAGATGGGAGAATTTCTTGGGCCCAAGAGTTTGAGACCCGAGTGGTCAACATGGCAAGACCCCATATCTAAACAAAATAATAACGTTATTTTTTAAATCTTTAGAAAAATGTATTTGATGTATTTCAAAGACTGTTTCCCAACCTCTCTCTTTTAGTGCCCGAAGTGACGAAACCAAGTTTAAGCCAACCAACGGCCGCCAGCCCAATTGGCAGCTCTCCATCGCCACCAGTCAATGGTGGCAACAATGCCAAAAGGGTGGCAGTGCCGAACGGACAACCGCCAAGCGCCGCCCGCTACATGCCTCGGGAGGTGCCACCGCGATTCCGTTGCCAGCAGGACCACAAAGTGTTACTAAAACGTGGGCAGCCCCCTCCACCGTCCTGCATGCTCCTCGGGGGTGGGGCAGGGCCTCCTCCCTGCACAGCACCTGGAGCAAACCCAAACAACGCACAAGTGACAGGAGCGCTGCTGCAGAGTGAGAGTGGGACTGCGCCAGGTAAGACACCCTGTGGATCGAATGCATGGCAGCTTTACAGAGAGAGAGAGCGCTTGGTTTGCATCGCCTGATGTAATGTCTGGGAAAGCCATTAATTGTATAAACCACTGGGATTAGCCAAAAGATGAGAGGGGATCCTAGTATTCAATGTGTGTTGGTGATTCTTGGAACTGGGGGCTTAGTGTTCCATAAGTGTGTGCTCTTGTCATGAGAGGCTAATGTGGCTGCTGTTGCTCATTATTTTGGGGGACTTTTCTTCCTTCTCAGACAAGAGTGTTATAAATTTGAGCCTCCATAGTTCCACTGTCATATGTGTGCAGGTTATAATTGGACCTGGGACTTGTGTGGAGGCGAATCTTTAGATGTCTGTGTTACGTTTCCAGGATTCTAGGAGGATAGAGAAAATGATTTGTTACATTGCAATAGAATCTTGGTAGGATTCTAAAATTATACTATTCTATAGTTTTTACATTAGATTTTTAAAATCAGTATTTCTTTTGATGGCCCTGGATTTTGAGCTTTGTTAAAAACTATGTATAGAAATAAGGGATCTTTAGCTAAAGGGTTCTACTAGAAGTTTTGAGTGTTTTTAATAGATGAATATTAAGTCAACTAACAGCTAAGAAATTCTAAATATCTTTTAAAGTTTACTAATAGATTTCAACTTAAAATGTCTTTTGAGGCGATAATAAAATTCAGAGCTTGAATACCATTAAGCATTGGCAAAGACAATGAATTGATTGATGGTTGTCACCAGTAGGATACTTTATTTGACTTCTGAGTTTGAACAAAGAATTGCTAGAAAATTCAGTCACCACCTTGTTGTGTACAGAGTAAGGATGGAAAGAAACCTTGTGGTGACACAGACTTCCTGCAGAGATAAGCCCTTTCCTTCCTGGCCTCTCCTAACCAGCTGCAAAAGGAAGCATGTGAAGGGGCGGTCCTGTGGGGCGGAGTTTCTGCAGCCGAGTGTAGCCACGCCTAGGTGGAGACTTGGGTTCCGTGTGAGTCAGAGTCCACATTATTAAAACCAAGGAGTCCCCTAAATCTCAAGAGTTTGGGATTCTGTGCTTTTTCATTTTTCTATGCCTCTGTGTAGTTCATTTTTGAACTTCAAATTGATTAAAAGCTGTCTGGCTAAAGAAGCTAAAATAAATTTAGAAGAAATGATCTCATTAAAAACATATTTTTCCCACCAAATATGGTAAATTCCACCAAAATAATATGGTGAGCCAGACTCATTTATCAGATTAAGTTCCTTGGGGTTGTGAACTCCAATTCGTACTCGTGTGACACCCCCTGCCACGACCCCAGGCACCTAGCTCAGTGGGTATTCATCATTCAGCAGATGCTTACTAAGCAGCATTATGCTGGCTGCTGTGTGGAATTCTAACGTTAGCAAGTTAGGGTCTCCACCTAAAAGATGTTCACATGGGGAAGGAAAGTTGTGAACATGTACCACAGCACTGAGCAAGAAGGCTCTAAACAGGAAAAGATTATTTTCAGGTAATAAGCTTGGAAACAGCTTTATAGCTGAAGTGACACTTGAATTGGGCCCAGAAGGATGAGTAAATTTCACTACGTGAATTCAGGAGGAAAACACAGTAGGTGCCAATGTGGAACGGTGCCAGAGTGAGAAGGCACGAGTTGTGGATTGTCAAGTAGTATGGATATTGACATCTACAAAGTAAGTAGTAGAAGATAAGACTAGAAAAGTTGGTTGGTCCCAGGTCATGGAGCATGTTGATGAAATTCCAGGCCAAGCAGTTTAGCTTTATCCTTGTGCACTAAGAGAACTATTGAAGGTTCTCCATACAGCAGTGATATAATCAAAGGTGTGCTTTAGAAAAATTGCTCCAGCCAGGGGTGTTTAGAGTAGATTGGAAGTACAGTGCTATTGCTATTACCTTATCCTAAGACACAAGAAGGCCCTTCTCTGTCAGTAGGAATGGCAAAGGAGGTAGCTTTGAGAGAGATGAAGTTAGACTTAGCCAATATAACACAAGGCAAATGAAAAAGAAGAGGTGACTAAGACAGTTGTGATATAGACAACTGGGTTGAAAGAAAGCTAGCATGTGATTAGCTCTCCTAAGGGTAGAGCTCAAAGGAGAGCCCCTTTGAGGTATTAACGGGTAATGAATGCATGTGAAGCTGTGATTAATAAGATGATCTCTTCCCCAGAGTCAACCCTTGGAGGTGCTGCTGCTTCAAATTATGCAAATTCTACTTGGGGTTCGGGAGCCTCCTCCAACAACAGCACCTCCCCCAACCCAATTCACATCTGGGACAAGGTGATTGTAGACGGGTCTGACATGGAAGAGTGGCCTTGTATTGCCAGCAAAGACACTGAATCTTCTTCCGAAAACACCACCGATAACAACAGTGCCTCGAACCCTGGCTCTGAGAAGAGCACTCTGCCAGGAAGCACCACTAGTAACAAAGGAAAAGGGAGCCAGTGCCAGTCTGCAAGTTCTGGGAACGAATGTAATCTTGGGGTCTGGAAATCTGACCCTAAGGCTAAATCTGTTCAATCTTCCAACTCTACTACAGAGAACAACAATGGACTAGGAAATTGGAGGAATGTGAGTGGTCAGGATAGAATTGGACCTGGCTCTGGCTTCAGCAACTTTAACCCAAATAGCAACCCATCTGCCTGGCCAGCACTGGTCCAAGAAGGAACTTCTAGGAAAGGGGCATTGGAAACAGATAATAGTAATTCCAGTGCACAGGTTAGCACAGTAGGTCAGACATCCAGGGAACAGCAGTCAAAGATGGAAAATGCGGGTGTTAATTTTGTTGTCTCTGGCAGAGAACAGGCTCAAATTCATAACACTGATGGACCAAAAAATGGAAACACTAACTCCTTGAACTTAAGTTCACCAAACCCCATGGAGAATAAGGGAATGCCCTTTGGAATGGGCTTGGGGAACACCTCCAGGAGCACTGACGCCCCTTCACAAAGCACTGGAGATCGAAAGACTGGGAGTGTTGGATCTTGGGGTGCAGCTAGGGGGCCTTCTGGAACTGACACAGTCTCTGGACAAAGCAATTCTGGAAACAATGGGAACAATGGAAAAGAGAGAGAGGACTCCTGGAAAGGAGCTTCTGTTCAGAAATCAACTGGGTCAAAAAATGACTCTTGGGACAACAATAACAGGTCTACGGGTGGGTCCTGGAACTTTGGCCCCCAGGACTCTAATGACAACAAATGGGGTGAAGGGAACAAAATGACATCTGGGGTCTCTCAGGGAGAATGGAAACAGCCGACTGGGTCTGATGAGTTGAAAATTGGAGAATGGAGTGGCCCAAACCAACCAAATTCTAGCACTGGAGCATGGGACAATCAAAAGGGCCACCCCCTCCCTGAAAACCAAGGCAATGCCCAGGCTCCCTGTTGGGGAAGATCTTCCAGCTCCACAGGAAGTGAAGTTGGAGGTCAAAGCACTGGAAGCAACCACAAAGCAGGAAGTAGTGACAGTCATAACTCTGGCCGTCGGTCATACAGGCCCACACATCCTGATTGTCAGGCTGTCTTGCAGACTCTTTTGAGCCGAACTGATTTGGACCCCAGGGTGCTCTCAAACACCGGCTGGGGCCAAACTCAAATTAAGCAGGACACAGTGTGGGACATTGAAGAGGTGCCAAGGCCCGAGGGGAAATCTGACAAAGGAACTGAGGGGTGGGAGAGCGCTGCCACACAGACCAAGAACTCAGGGGGCTGGGGAGACGCACCCAGCCAAAGCAATCAAATGAAGTCTGGATGGGGGGAGCTCTCAGCCTCTACAGAGTGGAAAGACCCCAAGAACACCGGAGGCTGGAATGACTACAAGAACAACAACTCTTCTAACTGGGGAGGAGGACGACCTGATGAAAAGACATCTTCCTCTTGGAATGAGAACCCCAGCAAGGATCAGGGGTGGGGAGGTGGACGCCAGCCCAATCAAGGATGGACCTCTGGAAAGAATGGTTGGGGAGAGGAAGTAGATCAAGCAAAAAACAGCAATTGGGAAAGTTCTGCAAGTAAACCTGTGTCTGGGTGGGGTGAAGGAGGGCAGAATGAAATCGGAACTTGGGGTAACGGTGGGAATGCAAGCCTAGCTTCAAAAGGTGGGTGGGAGGATTGCAAAAGATCCCCAGCATGGAATGAGACAGGCCGACAGCCCAATTCCTGGAATAAACAACACCAACAGCAGCAGCCGCCACAGCAGCCACCGCCACCACAACCAGAGGCTTCTGGTTCGTGGGGAGGCCCACCCCCACCACCTCCAGGCAGCGTTCGACCTTCCAATTCCAGCTGGAGCAGCGGGCCACAGCCTGCAACCCCTAAGGATGAGGAACCCAGTGGTTGGGAAGAGCCATCCCCGCAGTCAATTAGTCGGAAAATGGACATTGATGATGGCACTTCAGCATGGGGAGACCCCAACAGTTATAACTACAAGAATGTGAATCTGTGGGATAAGAATTCCCAAGGGGGCCCAGCACCTCGGGAACCAAACCTGCCTACCCCAATGACCAGTAAATCAGCATCAGGTAAGCTATGGCTTTTCCTGGCAGCTTTTGATGAAGAAAAGAAACCTGAGGCATTTTTATTAGGTGCATTTAGTCAATTTAGTTCTGTTCTGAGAAGCTTTCCTACAGTTTTCCTACTCTGTTGCTATCAGAACCTCTTTTTATAAAATGCTAGTGATGGCAGATGCTGGTAGTACATTTTAATGTTCTTTCTTGGCAAAAGGAAAAGACGACAACCCTGTGTTAGTCCCCAAAATTATTTTTCTGTAATTGTATTGGTCTGCAGAATCCAAAAGATGTATCTTGCTAAACAAACTATGTTCTAGATTTTAAAATAAAGAATTAAAGTAGTAGCAGAAATAGACCTGCTTTCCATTCTGGTTCTCCCTGTGGACATATCTCTGCTTCTGTTTCCCCAGCAAAGGGAAGTATTCTGTGTTTTTCCAGAGGCCATCATGATGCTGAAGCAAAGCTGGTATCTGGAAGGTTTCAGGCTCTTTCCAGATGATTTGTAATGATTACTTCTGGAGTGGGAGTACTTTCTATAAGAGATTGTTATCTCAGGCCTAGTGAGGTGCCTCACACCTATAATCCCAGCACTGTGGGACACCGGGCCAGGAGGATCCCTTGAGCCCAGGAGTTTGAGACCACCTGGGCAACCTAGAGAGACTTCAGTCTCTACAAAAATATATTTAAAAAGTGGTTGAGTGTGCTTCATATGCCACTATAGTCCCACCTGCTTGAGAGGCTGAGGTGAGAGTATCACTTAAGTCCTGGAGATGGAGGCTCTGGGGAGTTAGGATCGCACCACTGCAACTCCAGCTCGGGCGGCAGAGTGAGACCCTGTTGCAGAAAAAAAGAAAAAAAACAACACGAGATTGTTAGGATATCAGTTGCCCAGAATTAAACTTTCTTCCCTCGCTATTTTAATAGGAAGCATCATACCTGGTAAAAGTAGCAATGGTAATGCCATTCTTAGTTTGTCGTTGTCAACTTGAATGTCCCTATAAAGCATATAGTTCAACAAATTAAGGGGGATGCAACCTTTCAGTCTTTTTTTAGTTAAAATTAATGATAATTTTAAGAATCAGGGTTTTGTTTGCTTGTCTTTTGTTTTTTCTTTTGAGACAGAATTTCACTTTGTCGCCCAGGCTGGAGTGCAGTGGTACGATCTCAGCTCACTGCAAACTTCTCCTCCCAAGTTCAAGTGATTCTCTTGCCTCAGCCTCCCGAGTAGGTGGGATTATAGGTGCCTGCCACCACGCCCAGCTAATTTTTGTATTTTTAGTAGAGACTGGTTTCATCATGTTGGCCAGAGTGAAAGTAGATCACCTCAGGTGATCCACCTGCCTTGGCCTTCCAAAGTGCTGGGATTACAGGCGTGAGTCACTGTGCCCTGCCAAGAATCAGTTTTCTCAGAGTACACCTCTAGTGTTCAGCTAATCCATTTGTGGCCACTTAGAAAAATAATTACTTTTGGCCAGGCGTGGTAGCTCCTGCCTGTAATCCCAGCACTTTGGGAGGCCAAGGTGGGCGGATCACGAGGTCAGAAGTTTGAGACCAGCTTAACAAACATGGTGAAACCCTGTACAAAAATTAGCCTGGCATGGTGGTACGTGCCTATAATCCCAGCTACTCAGGAGGCTGAAGCAGGAGAATGGCTTGAACCCCGGAGGTGGAGGTTGCAGTGAGCTGAGATTGGGCCACTGCACTCCAGCCTGGGCGACAGACAGTGTGAGACTCCCTCTAAA